GGCCTCGGCGCTGCCATACCTGGTGAGCGCTGCGGCTGTGTTGCCGTCAAGCGCTAGCTTCACGTCGTGCCCTGACTTGCTGCCCTGCGCGAAACCTCTCATCGTGGAGAACAGCAGTGTCAGGTATCTCCATGCCGTGCCCACGAACCAGATCACAACGCCTACGGTGGAGCCCAGCACGGTGCCGACCGCGATCACAACCATGGCTATAGCAGCCCACTGCAGCCTGGCTCAATAAGCGCCGAGCATGTAGCGGCCCATGGAGTCCACCAGTCCCATGATGAAGGCGATGAGTTGGTGGAGGAGGGCGCCCAAAGCATAGCCCGTCCTCTCTCCCAGCCACTTCAGTGCAGCCTCGACTCCTGCGCTAACTCTCTCCCTGGAGAAGAGCGGCAGCTTCGGCTCGGCGTCGAGGGGGGGGGCGTCTGGCTGCGGCGGTGCCTTGCCGTCCCCAGTGGCGTTGACGACGCCGCCCGACCTCGGCGGGGGCGGGGGAGGGCTCTCCTCTGCGGTTCGCGCCTCCTCAGCCTGGCTCTCCCGCCTGACCTCATCCCGGGTCGGAGCCAGCCTCCTGGGCCTCCGTCTCCTCCTCCGCCAAGGAGCGCCTGGGAGGGGGCTCCGGCCTCGCCTGGTCTCTCCCGCTGCTCCCGGCAGAGCGCTCGTCCAGACCGGCCATGGCTGGCGGCGGGTCCGTGACCAAGGGCTCGTTCGGGGCAGGGAGCGCCGCTGATGGGGGTGGCCTGACCGGCGCCCCCACCGCTAGCAGCTCGTCACTGTCCGTGGCACTGCAGCTGGCTCCGCGCGTCTCCTCCGGCGAAGCCTGCTGTTCATCAGGGGCGTCCTCCTCATCGGGGTGCGCCCGTTCATGGCCTCCTTGCTCGGGGCTCGCCATGGTGGCCGTCGCGTGCACAGTCGCGTACCAGCTCACGCCGAACGACGAGTCCAGCCAGGTGACCAGCGCCCCGACAGCCAGCGCAAGCGTGCACTCAATGCTGTGGAGCGCCCTCATGCCTCCCCGCCGCTGCGCCTGACCAAGCGCGTCGCCGAGGATGGATCCGCAGGCCTCACCCTGCTGCGGGCCGCGGGGCTCCCCTCCGGAGCCCCCGCCTGCACTGGAGGGGGGACCTGGCCCAGCCACTACCCAGCACTCCTCAGAGTGCCCGTGCTATGGCCTCGCCCGCCCACCCCAAAATGCAAGCGGCTCCTCGGAGCCTTGAGAAACACGGCAGCGGGAGAGGACAAGAGCAGAGAGGAGGCTGCGAGGCGGGAGGAAACCCACTGTTCCCACGAACGATCACTTCGGCGGGGCGACCAAAACCAGCCGCGCGCGGCAAACTTCGCACCCCCCTCCTTTCCTTCCCCAGCTTTTCGTCCGACCCGAGCGAGGCGGGTAGTCCTCCTCCCCCCCTGTCGCCGTCGTCGCCGCCGTCCCCCGCCCTGCCTGCGCCCGTTTCCAGCGGCCGCTCTCTCCGTCGCTCGGGCCTCCTCCTCCTCCTCCTCCTCCTCCTCCTCCTCCTCCTCCTCCTCCTCCTCCTCCTCCTCTTCCCTCTCCTCCTTCTCCTCCCTTCCCCTCCTCTCTCCCCCTCCCCCCTGGCGCGCGTGATTTTAAGAATTATCCTGGCGAAGGACCCAACCAGATGCACTTGTGAGTGCCGCGTTGTGGGTGCCGCTCTCGGTGTAGCTCCCCATGGGGTCACGATCCTCGTGAGGGGTGTGCCGAAATGGGCGGGGGGGCGCATGCGGACCCTGCCGCTGGGGCCTTCGGTGGAGCTCCCCATGGGGCCACGATCCTCGTGATGGGGTGTGCTGAAATGAGGCGGGGGGGGCGCATGCGGACCCTGTCGCTGGGGCCTTCGGTGGAGCTCCCCATGGGGCCACGATCCTCGTGATGGGGTGTGCTGAAATGAGGCGGGGGGGCGCATGCGGACCCCGCCGCTGGGGCCTTCAGTGGAGCTAGATCTGGGGCCACGATCCTCGTGAGGGGTGTGCCAAAACGGGCGGGGGGAACGCATGCTGACCCCGCCGCTGGGGCCTTCGGTGGGGCTCCCTATCGGGCCACGATCCTTGTGAGGGGCGTGCCGGAATCGGCGGGGGGACGCATGCGGGCCCTGCCGCTGGGGCCTTCGGTCCTCGTGATGGGTGCGCCGAAATGGGCGGGGGGGACGCATGCGGACCCCGCCGCTGGGGCCTTCGGCGGAGCTCCCTATGAGGCCACGATCTTCGTGAGGGGTGTGCCGACATGTGCGGGGGGGGGGGGGGGGGCGCATGCGGACCCTGCCGTTGGGGCCTTGAGCTCCCTATGGGGCCACGAACCTCGCGAGGGATGTGCCGAAATGGGCGGGGGGGCGCATGCGGACCCTGCCACTGGGGCCTTCGGTGGAGCTCCCCATGGAGCCACGATCCTCATGAGGGGTGTGCCGACATGAACGGGGGGACGCATGCGGACCCCGCTGCTGGGACCTTCGGCGGAGCTACCTATGGGCCCACGATCCTCGTGAGGGGCGTGCCGAAAAATAAGCGGGGGGACGCATGCGAGCCCTGCCGCTGGGCCCTTCGGTGGGGCTATCCACGCAGCCACGATCCTCGTGAGAGGCGTGCCGAAATGAACGGGGGGACGCACGCGAACCCCGCCGCTGGGGCCACGATCCTCGTGAGGGGTGTGCAGGAATGTGCGGGGGGGGGGGGCGCATGCGGACCCTGCCGTTGGGGCCTTCGGTGGAGCTCCCCATGGGGCCACAATCCTCGCGGGGGGCGTGCCGAAATGGGCGGGGCGGCGCATGCGGGCCCTGTCGCTGGGGCCTTCGGTGGATCTCCCTATGGAGCAACGATCCTCGTGAGGGGTGGGCCGAAATGGGCGGGGGGACGCATGCGGACCCCGCCGCTGGGACCTTCGGTGGAGCTCCCTATGGAGCCACGATCCTCATGAGGGGTGTGCGGACATGAACGGGGGGACGCATGCTGACCCCGCCGCTGGGGCATTTGGCTGAGCTCCCCATGAGGCCACGATCCTCATCAGAGGTGTGCTGAAATGAGCGGGCGGCGCATGCGAGCCACGCCGCTGGGGCCTTCGGCTGAGCTCCCTATGGGGCCACGATCCTCGTGAGGGGTGGGCCGAAATGTGCGGGGGGTGCGCATGCGGACCATGCCGCTGGGGCTTTCGGCTGAGCTCCCTATGGGGCCACGATCCTCGTGAGGGGTGTGCCGACATGTGCGGGGGGGGCGCATGCGGACCATGCCGCTGGGGCCTTCGGCTGAGCTCCCTATGGGGCCACGATCCTCGTGAGGGGTATGCCGAAATGAGCAGGGGTGCGCATGCGGACCCTGCCGTTGGGGCCTTCGGTGGAGCTCCCAATGGGGCCACGATCCTCGTGAGGGGTGTGCCGACATGTGCGGGGGGTGCGCATGCGGACCATGCCGCTGGGGCTTTTGGCTGAGCTCCCTATGGGGCCACGATCCTCGTGAGGGGTGTGCCGACATGTGCGGGGGGGGCGCATGCGGACCATGCCGCTTGGGCCTTCGGCTGAGCTCCCTATGGGGCTACGATCCTCGTGAGGGGTATACCGAAATGGGCAGGGGGACGCATGCGGGCCACGCCGCTAGGGCCCTCGGTGGAGCTCCCAATGGGGCCATGATCCTCGTGAGGGGTGGGCCGAAATGGGCGGGGGGACGCATGCGCTGGGGCCTTCGGTTGAGCTCCCTATGTGGCCACGATCCTCGTGAGGAGCGTGCCGAACTGGGCGGGGGGGGACATGCAGGGTGTGCCGAACTTGGCGGTGGTGCGCATGCAGACCCCGCCGCTGCGGCCCTCGGCTGAGCTCCCTATGTGGCCACGATCCTCGTGAGGGGTGTGCCGAACTGTGCGGGGGAGCACATGTGGGGTGTGCTGAAATGAGCGGGGGCGCGCATGCAGACCCCGCCGCTGAGGCCTTCGGTGGAGCTCCCCATGGGGCCACGATCCCCGTGAGGGGTGTGCTGAAATGAGGCCGGGGGGGCGCATGCGGACCGGGGCCGCGATCTTCGTGAGGGGTGCCGAAGTGGGCGGGGGGACGCATGCGGACCCCGCCGCTGGGGCCTTCGGCTGAGCTCCCTATGGGGCCACGATCCTCGTGAGGGGTGTGCCGAAATGGGCGGGGGGGCGCATGCGGACCCCGCCGCTGGGGCCTTCGGTGGAGCTCTCTATGGGGCCACGATCCTCGTGAGGGGTGTGCCGAAATGGGCGGGGGGCGCATGCCGACCCTGCCGCTGGGGCCTTCGGTGGAGCTCCCCATATGGGGCCACGATCCTCGTGAGGGGTGTGCCGAAATTTGCGGGGGGGCGCATGCGACCCTGCCGCTGGGGCCTTCGGTTGAGCTATCTATGGGGCCGCGATCCTCGTGTGGCGGCCCGAAGCCTGGGCCCCGGTACTCTAGCTTTTGCTATGCACGCTCAATCGTACCACCCGTGCGCTTCTCGGGCTTCGCAGCACAGGACAAGGCAACGTAACGCATGTCGGACACAGTCAGAAGTGCTGCTGCGGTGCTGCTGCGTGATCCTTGTTGCTGCTGGTGCTGCTTGCTACCATTTGTGACTGGTCGCTTCCTGCTGCGAAATGTCGCTGGTGCCGTACTGCCGATTGCTGCTGTCTTCTGCCCTTTAGGCATGTCTTGGGATCTGGTGCGCTTTGTGAGGCCCTCGAAGGCTGGCGGGAGGCTCTCGTGGGGCCTTTGGGGCCATCAGGCGGTGTCCAAGAAGTCTCTTAGGGTCTTCTTGACCCGTCTGAGGGCGCCTGGGATCGCATTGGGAGCTCTCTCGGGCCGTCCGAGCTCCGAGCGTCATCTCGGGTTATCATGAACCTCTCTTGGGCCGCCTCGGACCCTCCTGGCGACTCTTTTGGGCTCGACTGGAACCCTCTGTCGGGCTGTTTCAGGCTGTGTTCGGGGCTTCCCTGGGCTGCCTGGGTAGACGCCGCACGCGTGCATGCGCAATCACGGCGCGGAGAGCCCAGGACTTGCAGTCCAAGC